TTGTTTTTGTTTGGGGCAATGTGCTCGCCCCCCATACTTTTGATTTTACTGCTTCCTCCGTGTGTCTGTGTGCTCCTTGCGGGAACCGCGCCGTGCGTGCCCGAGTGCTGTTGCGGCCACCCGCTGCTATGCGGGCGTGTCTGTGTGCGGCGAGCCGTGCCGGCCGTGTTTCTCTCTTTTGTGCACCTTTGTCTTCTTCCCTCCGTCCCCACGCAGACCAGCGAGGCCACCCACACACGCACCCACACACATACCCAGGCGACTCCAAGACGACAAGAATGAAGGCCGTGCGCCACGTGCTGTTCGCCGTGTTGGCCCTCACGCTGTGCTGCGCGGCTGCGTGCATGGCGGCTTCCGAGGCAGAGCAACGAATGCTAAAGGTGTCGTGCGAGGAGGACGGCACGACGCTTGTGCGGTACGAGGATGAAACCGCCCTGACAAGGTGCGAGGAGCATGCGGAACGCGACTCCTGCGCCCTTTTCAAGCCCATGTGTGACGGTTTGAGGAGAAATTATCCTCACGATAAGGGGCGCTGGACCTTCTCGCTTTATTCGAATCGCGAGGACCCTGAGGGGGAGGAGGGAGAAGACTTCGTCGACGAAGAAGATGAGAGCTACCTTTATTTTGGTGACGACGAGGAGGAGGGGGAGGGTGTGCTGCCCACGCAGGTGCAGGAGACGCGGCCAACCGTGGGGCACAGCCAGCCGCCCGCCCCGCCGCTGCAAGGCGTTGCCGGCGTTTCGGAACCAGCGCCTGGCGGCGGCGCGGACAATTCCTCCCTGGTTCCCCCCTCTTCTTCGCCGCCGAACGAAGTCCGCACAGGGGTGGACGTGGGGGGAGAAGAGGAAGAAGTGGAGAGCCGAGAGAAAACAGAAGTGAACCCACCTTTGCCACAGCCTCCTGTGACCCCCATGGAATCGACAGACGCCGGCGTCCCCACTACTGACGATGCGTCGACTGTTGAGTTCAAAGATGAACCAGGTGGTTCTGCGCAGCTGCCGCAGCAATCCGCTGCAGACCCCACACCTGCCGCCGAGCTGCCGATCAAAGAGACAGAGACGACCAATGTGGGCAGTTCCGCGGCGCTGTTGCCCCTGCCAACGTCCTCCACCGGCCACGCCGCTGCCGCAGGTGCGCCAGAAGAAGCAGCGCAGGACCCTCCCGAGCTTCTCTCTGCGGTTCCCTCCGAGCCTCTCTCTGCGGCTACTGTGGGTGAAGATGGCCAAACGAGGAACTCGGGTGTCGGCGTAGTTGAAAGCCAGCCGCACGAAACTGATTCCGGCATGCAAAACACTGGCATCCACGCGCTGGACGGAGGCAGCCCAGAAGCCACCTCATCCACCCCGTATCCGGCAGCGGCAGCGCAGCCGGGTGGGCAGAGCGAGGCCTCTCAAGACGCATTCCGAAGACGCTTGGACATGGATTCGGTTCTCCGCGAGAGAAATGTGTCGACCGGCATCGTTACTGTGACAAATGACGTCACACGTAAAGCCGATGATGGACGCCGCCTCGAGGGCGCAGGCTGGTTTGCTTCTTTTGTGGCGTTCGGCCATGGTGCAGACGCCGGTGAGAGGACTGCGTGGGTGCGTGCGCCGCTTGTGCTGAGCCTCGCCATGATGGCGCGCCTTGCCGTGCTCTGAGGCGAGAGTTGAAGACACGCCGACTGCGCTCCACACCTTTGCGCCGAAGAACGTCCTGTGGGGAACCTTCCCTTAGTAACTGGAATAAATCCTTTCGCTGTTTGCGCCGATGCCCTGCTGTGGACGCGGCGACGCTCCTGTTGCGTGCGACAAGGGTTGCGTTGGGCGCACAGGGGGATTTGGACGTGCGTCAGCCTCATTTCTATCCTTTCTATCATTGTTGGGCTTTTCTTTGTTTTCGTTTTTTTTGGGCGCGATTGATTTTTTTCTGTGTTCTTTTTTGTTTTTGTTTGGGGCAATGTGCTCGCCCCCCATACTTTTGATTTTACTGCTTCCTCCGTGTGTCTGTGTGCTCCTTGCGGAAACC